ATTTTGTTGTACTTACATTAATGCAGAAGCCATCATGGCTTCCTTCTATTTACTTCTGCCTACAAGCTAGGACCAGGAAGGCAAAAGTCATATGAAAAATTGAGGATAAGCTTGTTAAATTTTAGAGCATAACAGCAGGTGGAGCTCTCACGTTACACTTTAGAGCATTATTAACATTACAAACCCTTTGGGGCCGATTTTACGAAGATATTTAGGTGGGCAGTTCTCATAGATCATAAAGAACACACTACCAGTATCACTTTGTAAATCAACTGTAAAAAATAGCTGCATCAAAATTTTGCTGGAACCCAAGATGTGCAAGAAGAAAAAACTGGAATATTTACTTTAAAAATGCCTTTCAATCTGAAAGTATACTTACTTGTAAGGAATCTGTTTTGAGCTTTTCTTTGTGCTCTTCAGAAGAACGCAACACCTCTCTGTACAGCTCTGCAGCCAACGCATATTCACCTAAAGAATTAAAGGCTATTTATATCCAGCACAGGATTTTTGTTTCCAAATAGACAGGAGTGGCTATCGCCTGAAATTTGTGTAGGATATTTTCAGAAGACTCTTTTCATGTGCTTTTTAAATTATTTTTATTTTTAAAAAAATCTATTAAAGCACATCAGATAAAGTATCATTTATACCTGCAGGCCTCACTAGGCCCAAGCTGACACTGCCCTATGTGAAAGTTCAATGTGGAAAATAAGTTTGTAAGACTGATATCAAAGTACCATGTTTCTGCCTTCCAGGGCAAACAGTCTGATTTCAAGTTAAGCATGGGTTTTTTTGCAACTCTCCTATTTGAAGACTCAAAGTCGAGCAGGATTTTGCAGGTCATTGTGTTTGCATTTACATGTGTCCATGAAGTTCAAATTTTCCATTAAGACAAACTATGGGGCTTGTTACAGGGTAACTTTAGGCAGCTTCTGGAGCTCTTAACCCCTGGACTGGCTATACATTAACACCTTTAAGTGGCTTCAAACACTTGTTATTTGGCTTAAAGTTATGCCACACCAGGGCTAGATTATCTCTAGCCCACCTAAATTTGCTCCTGTTCCATTACAGTGTGCAGCTATACCACCCAAGTTGAAGTCTTCCAGTATCCCAGGATGCAGTGGCCCCTCCAGAGTCAGGGCAACATGAATACCAGAGAGCAGCAGGGGCAGAGCCAGCACCACAGCCCTGGACCGCCCGGCAGCCACGGTGCCTCTCAGACCGGCTCACTGCTCCAAATGCCCAGGACAGACTCAGGCCACGGTACCTGCAGGGAGCAGCAGGCTGATATTCACCCCCTGCTGACCTGTGGTTGAACTTGCACTCCACCCCACTGCAGTGTGCCCCTTACTAGTGCCTGCGACCCTAGGACCCAGGCACATGACCTGGCGGGGCCAAGTGGCTGAAGCAGGGCTGAGTTTGGCAGCTATAGTGCAGCAACCCAAGGCCAGTTCCCACTGACCCTGGCATGTTCCCAGACCAGGATTAGGAGCTAGGGGCAGGACCAGCTTGCTGTTCCCACTGAGCATAGCCAGTGCCACAGTCCTGGAGCTTGCTCACTCTGCTCAGGCCCAACTACCTGGGAACATGAACAAGGTGGGGCAGACGGACACATGGTACAGAAATTTCCCACCCCACAGGGCTTGGGAAGTGGCTGAGTGACACAGCCAGCCAACCAGTGGCCAGACCCTTTATAGCCCGGCACAGCGTGGGGTCAATGGGGACCAGCCTCAGGCTGCCATCCTGCAATCACTGAGCTCCGCCATGCTCCAGCTGCCTGCAGGTGAAGAACAGGCAGAGATGGTTTTCTGCCTTAAGGTGCAACTGCTCCACTAAGATGAACAACACTAAGCCGATTAACATTTGTGCAGCTTACAGCATAAGGTATAACAAGGCCCTGAATCTTAAACAACATATTGCACCAGTGTAACGAAAAATCTCCCTTAATAGTACATCTTATCTCACAGTTCAGTTTACCCTCCCACTAAACTTAACTCAGTACTTTGAAACCTGACGACAAAAACAGGAGAAAGAAAAGCAGGACTAGCAGAAACGGGGTGTCACAGACCATATCAAGAATTCAGCACCACCCAACCCACCCAAAAACACATATCTGAGTTGCAGTCAAGTCTCTCGATCCCAGATAGGCCTCATCAGCCATTTTGGGACAAAGATAAGACAATAATGGAAGATGATCATCCCCCACTGTGAGGGATTCCCAAAGAAGAAACCAACAGCAAAACATTTGAAAAAAGGTTAATTTGGATAAGCAGATATGACTGCACAGGCACAAGAATCAGACTTGTTAATGTAAGGTGCCACTTTCATGATCAATTTTCAGAGACAAACTATGGTTACATGACCACATGCACTTCAATACAGAAATAAATTGCAAAATTTATTCATGTTTTCATGGCCCCCAAGAACAAATGGAAGATGTATCTAACAAATAACTGAATGAACAGCCTGGAAAAACTCAACAAGAGTGGTGGCCCAGGTGACATAAATAATGGAGGCCTTGACAGATGAAAATGAAATCTCTTTTTCATTTTCAAATACCTAGAAAAGTGCTATTTGAACCAGAGGTTTTGATATTTTATATTAATTCTGAGTTGCTAGCAGTATTTAAAAAGTGCTTGTGAAGGGTATAGAACAATATACCTGGCCTAGGGAAATAATTAATGTTTGTTCTTCGCATTTTTTCTTTAAAAAAAGAGATAATTCATTATTGCAATTTGTTTATTGTATATGAAGTGCCTGCTTCCTTTTCTGGTCAGGACCAGAAGCCACTGCAAACTACTCATTTCAAATCTATTCAATGAAGATGAGAAGGGTTGTGATGAACCCACTCTTCCTATTGGCCAAGTTACAGGGAAGGCCGCTCATCTTGTTAAACTTTTCTTTGAAATGACTGAACATAAGCTGACAAGACTGTTTCATTCCGCTACTTAACTAAAAATTATTTATATTATTTGACCTGCAAGAAACTATTAATTATTACATTAAACATTTCAGAGTTGGTGGGATGACACCTAATCAACAGATGCAAATGGGAAGGCATTTCCATTTAACAAACTCCATGTGTTTTCATAATCTTATTTCTCCTAGTTTTTCCTTATCCTGTATTATTTTACCTTATTTTTTTAAATTTCTTGAGAATTTACAAAAAAAGCTGCACCGTCTCAACTGGAAACTAACTGCCATTAACACAATTGCTATTTATATGCTAATACTTCTTCAACTAAACAGCAATTGCTGAAGTAACATAATGACTTCTTGTATTTCTTACCATCTTCTATATAGACAGCAACTGCTTTAGATTTGTGGGTAAAATGGGGTCATCACTGCCACCTTTTGTACCTTCAACTTTAGGTCTTGCTATCTGACACCACTAGCACAGTGGTTCTCAACTTTTTCAGACTCAAGGCATCCCTCGTTAGCCTCAAAGCAGGCCCTCCATATCTTTTGTGAATTGAACAGCACCCCATTTAAAAGCTAATTTATTACTGTGCTTACCTCTTTGCAGAGGGCTAGGCAGCAGAAGGAGGGGATCTGCCACGCAGGGAACACCTGACCATGCCCTTATCTCCTCCTACCTCTCTTATCTCCTCATTTTTCCTGTGCCATCCCTCAAAGGATCTTGTGGCACCCTAGCTGAGAATCACTTGTCTAGCATCTCTCAGAAATATTAGGGAAGTTTCCATAATTTATACAATATTCAAAGCAAAACACAATTTCACCTTACCTTTGAGTTTTACATGGTGTCTTTAAAACGAATATATGCTTCAAAAACACATTTCATAGAAAGTATGAAACAAGACACAATAACAGAGCTACATTCAAAGGATAGGCCAAAGATTTACATTATCTTCAGATAAGCAAAAAAGAGACTAGAAGTAAAAAGCAAATGAAAAATGTTCCTGATAAGTTAAGCACCATACATACTTTCTAAACTATTTTTCTCCTTGCCAGTGACAGCTTTGAAGTTCTACTATCCACAGAAAACCTTTGATAAAAAATCCACTATCACAAGCTTAACAAAGGTGAAGAAAAAGTGAGTCTAATTCACCTCATTCTCATCAATTTTCCAGATGTGCAACTCAACTATCTTTAATGGTGTTACACCTGAATTTCACCAATATAATAGCAGAATTAGATTCTTTTTGTACTCCTTTTACCCTCTCTGGATGAATCTAAACTGTCAAAAGAATGCTGTCAAATAAGACAATGAATAGCCTCAAAGAACTGCATCTCTTCCTTTCCTATCAGTCAGGAGGAATGTGTTGGTGCTTCAGATGCTGCCTGTGTGCTGCTCAAATTTTATGAGTCTGTTTTACATTTCTCCCTTGAATCAGTGAACTGGCCATTTTTCCGAAAGGTTAGCTAAATTCTTACCTAGCCCATTAGAAGGTGTCAAGTAATACACTCTAGCAACCTGCTTTTACCTTTAATGATATGGATACCGGCTAAGCCATTAAGGGCACACACTAGTTGTCGATGCGCTTCCTCGCACTCTGTTCGACATTTCTTCTGCAGCGATGTTAGTAGTTCCTCCATGGTCATAGTGCTGAAATAAGAATTGGATGGATCACACTCAAAATAAAACACAATACTCTGCAAGCAGTGTCCTACAGTCTACATGAAAGACTGTAGGAATCATAGAAAAGTAGAGCTAGAAGGGACGTCACAAGATCATCTAGTCCAGCCTGTTGCTCAAGGAAGGTTCATCCCTCACTAACCGATTCAACCCAAGTGTCTTTCTAACTTGTTTTTGTAAGCTTCCAAGGATGCAGATTCCACAACTTCTCTAGGTAACCTGTCCCAATGCCTGACCACTCTCATACTTAGAAATTTCCTCCTAATCTCTAACCTAAATTTCTCCTGCTGCAGCTTGAGGCCAGTGCTTGTAGTCCTGTCCCCTGCAGTGACAGAGAAAAGCTCATCTTCATCTAACTTATAATCACCCTTCAGGAATTTGAAATGACTCCTCAGTCTTGTTTACTCAGTAACCCTTAGTTCTTTCGGCTTTTCCTCATAAGTCTCGTCTCCCAGGCCCGATTGTTTTTGTTGCCCTGCACTGGACTCTTTTGAAACTGTCCACATCCTTTTTGAAATGTGGGGCTCAAAACTGGACACAGTATTCCAGGCAAGGCCTCACTAGTGCTGAATAGAGCAAAAGAATCACATCCCTTGATCTGCAAGCGATACTCCTGTTAATACAACCCAGTGTGTTGTTGGCCTTTTTTGCAACACGAGCACACTGTTGGCTCATATTTAGCTTATGGTTCACTATAACTCCCAGGTCCTTCTCTGAAGTACTGCAGCCTAGCCAATGATTTCCCAGTCTGTATTTCTGTATGCAGTTATTCCGCCCTAAATGCAGGGCTTTGTACTTATCTTTGTTGAATCTCATCTAACTGACTGCAGATCATTTCTCTGATCCAGGTCATTTTGAATCCCAGCCATGACCTCTGGAGTGTCTGCAACTCCACCCAACTTGGTGTCAGCCACACATTTGTGAAGTGTGCACTTGATGCCATCATCCAAATAATTAGTGAAGATATTAAACAATATCAGACCTGGGAAAGACCCCTAGGGAACCCCACTCAATGCCTCCTTCCAACTAGACATTGAGCCATTGAGAACTACTCACTGAGCAGGATGATCCAAGTAGTTATGTATCCATTTTACAGTACTTTAATCTAGTCTGTATTTCCTTAGCTAGCTAATAAGAATGTTATGAGAGACCATGTCAAGAGTGTTGCTAAAGCCAAGATATACCATGTCCACTAGTCCCCCCTCATCCAATGATCCTGTCACTTTATCATAGAAGGAAATCAATTTGGTCAGATCACATTATCCACAACTAATGTCATGCAAATGTACAAATTTGCTGCGCAGTAAGTATTTTGTGTAAAACAGCTTTTCCTTGATCTATATATCAAGGGCCTGTGTCAGGAAAGTGGAAAGTAAATACCTTAGCTCTTTGTGAACCTTAGACCTGTCCGAGGATTCCAATATTATGAATTTCACTCTGCCCTACATACAGAACAATAGTTTCCAAGTCCCTATATTGCAACAGCCATTCCTATAGAGAAAGAACCTACACATAACTATTTATAAAAACATTTTCTCTCAAAGACCAATTATTTCAGGAGCATGACAGACCTCTACCAGTCTGTCATGGGCCAGAAAGAAGGTGCTATCATAAAAGTACCTTGACTTTGGAGCTAACAAGACCAGTACTGCCACTGTACTAAGCACAGAACAGATGAGTAACAGGCACCAGTCCACGCCTCAGAGACTTTTTAAAGCATCTTTTCTAACACAGGTAGAGATAAAAGAGATGGAAATTTGGATGGGATGCAGTTAGCAGGCAATTAGCTCCAAAGAGAGTGAAATGCAGGGAAGGTAAGAAGAACTAGTCAGGAAAGAAAGAGAGCATAAATTCTTGACGTGAAACTGAGATGAAAAGTCCAGGCAGGAAAAAGGATTGACACAGGCAACAATCTGCATGAGGTGAACGTAACCCAAATGAAAACTATACAAAGCAATCTGATGCCATCAGTGCTCAACAGTCCAAGCCAAGGTAGCTTCCTTACCAGATTGTTTCCCTAGCCCACGGGGCTGGGTCCTACTTGAAATTGTTGTTACCCATTGCCACACATTTTGGAGAAGTGTATGTGCTTCACTGGGTCCCTGTACCATGGAAGGAAACTGTGTGTGTGTGCATGCATGCGAATACAGTGGAGGGGAAGAGGTAGCATTATTGCCCAGTCTAGATTCAGGGTGTGTTGGAGGGAGGAGTACTCTTCACTGGGTCCCCATCTTTTCCTCTCTGCTGCAATACCAACTGAAGTTCCTTTGCATTTGCTCCTGTCAGATAAAGTTTCATTCCAGTGGAGGAGGCAGGCGTGCTATCAGCTTAAAACTAAAATCATACAGAGCTAAAAAGTTTCTCAGCTGTACTATAGCAAATATGAATACAGTCTGCTGCACCTTGCTTTTCCAAGTTCTATGAAGTTTTTATTTTCAAAATCAAGAATTACAAAGAACTTGTTTAAAAGCAAGCCACACAAACATCCATTTGCTACTAGTACTAATTAACTTCAAGAGCAATTCCTGATTTTAAATTTTAGAAAAACCTAATAGTTTTCTTGTAGAAAGGGCTACATATTTACAAAACAGACAGCCTTCCTGCTATCTTTCCCCGATAAAGAAAATTAATTCCATCTACCCCAGAATATACTAAAATGTAGTTTCCTTGCTTCAGTACAATTCTCCTATTCATCAGTTTTTTGGCACAAAATTCTTTATCTATTTACACGTACATAAACGAGGCCAGGAGCCAAGTCTTCTACCTATTCTGGGAATGGTCCATCTTTGCAGACAGGACTGGCTCACAAGAAAATATATAAACAGCAACTTGAAACAGCTTTTCCTTAAACACAATGTTTTTAGAGGGAATTGGTCTTTCAGTGGTCTTCCACTGCAGTTGCTATGCTGCTGTCACCCATTAACGTCCCAATGAAATTCAATGTCTGTGCTCAGGCAGTCCAAGTACACCTAAGAGCACAGTTTGTATGTTAAACTTGTACCCCACTGGAACACTGGGCAGCATTCAAAGATCAGCATGGTACAGGCTGGTGGGAATTTTCCCTATCTTCCAACTCACTACTTCCACACTTTAAAGAGTATGAAAGGCAAGAAAATACAAGAGATTGCCTACTGCTGCAGCTGTTCAAGTAGACACTGGCATTGTTTCCAGTTGCACTGGCACAATTTAACACTGAAGGTACTCTGCATGAGAGGAGGACACAGAAAGTAACAGACATATCAGAGAGGTGGAGAGAACAGAAAGCAATACAATGAAAATGCAGAAGTACATTCACAGCAAGGTCTACTTTCAATTTTTTGCTGCCTATAGCACCAAGGGTTAAAAAAATGTAGCAGACAGTGCTCAGTTGTTCCAATGGAAGTATTCAGATTCATAGATTGTTAGGGGCTGGAAGGGAACTCTCAGATCGTCGGGTCCAGCCCCACTGTAGGTAGAAAGACAACTGGGGTCAAGTGACCCCAGAGAGGCAACTGTCCAGTCTCCTATATGTAAGTATGTACCTACACACTTGCTCTCTAGTAATTGCCTCTAACTGAAGCAGGAGCACTTACTTGCTCTGTGGGGAGTATTATCAACCCTTTTTGGCTAAAGAGAGGTTTGCAACAATGGCTTAGTGGGGCACATGGCAAGATATTGAGAAGCATGTGTACATGAAAGCAGGCAAACAGCTTTTTGAACAGCTAATCCTATTTGAAGTAAGTTTATTACCACCAGATTCAAAGTGGTGTGTTTTTAAAAAACCTTTTGTGTGTTATTCAGACACTTCGTCCATTGTTCTTTCAGAAAATAAATCTTGGGAGTTAGACAATACTCCTAGGCTAGACTCCTTCCTAGTTAAGTTTCATTTCTCAAGTTTCAGTTCTCATGCTCTACTACAGTGGGGGCCAACCTTTTTGGCAGGCATGCCACTCCAATCTCCTGCCAGATCTGCTGCTCTGCTTTCTGTTTGCTGCCCAATCTGCCACTGTGTTCTCTATTCCTTTCTTTATCTACTGAATGCCACACAGAGAGGCAATCTATGTACCACAGATTGGCCACCCTTTCTGTACTACATGTCCATGTTTTAACTGTAAACACTTAAGACAGGTAAAAAAAATATCACTGAAATTAAAACATGGAAAAATCTCAGTTTAGTTTCTCATGGCAAATTTGGCACCTCTGCTACTATTCTGCCCCAGTACTGCACCCAGGAATTGTTACAAATAAACAACCCTGTTGATCCTGCTGAGCTTCTAATACAGCTTGATGTAGCTTGGCATCAGGTAACTCAATAGACAGATATAATCCTTTTCCTGTTTAAACAGTATTCACTATTGATCCTGCACCATTAGAGTCAGAGTTTTGCCTTTGACTTCAATGGACATGGGAACAAACCCCCAATGACCAAATGAACTAGGGATAAAAATTCACCTTTTCTGTAATGGCAAGAATTCCCCACGGACAGCCTGTGGATGACAGCAAGCCTGTCTCAGCCGCAACAAAGGGTACAAAATGGAAGTGACTGTCCTTCTATCCAAACTGCTAAGCTTAAGAGTCCAATCAGAAATTTTGCGGAGTTTTACCAACGCATCCTGGCAGCACACCTCATGCTGGCGATGATAGAAGTGTCTCTCCACAGGAGAAAAGTGAAGCCAGTGAACATTCTCTGTCTGAGGGGGTATTTGAATCTGAAAAAATATATAAATACAGTAATATGCAAATAATGTTCCTGGAGAAAGCACTGTTTACAAACAATATTTTTCAAAGATAGTATTGTTTACTTGGTCAATCACGTCCTTCTTTGCTGACCTCCACATTATCTTGGCAACGAGGCTGTAGAGAGGCTGAGGATTTTTCCTACAGTAAGGTCGATACAAAAGCTGATCCCACCAATGTTTGACCCAGTAAGGATCAACTCCAAGAAAAAGAACTAACCCATATAGATCTGACAAAAGAAAAAAATATTGGAATGAGAATGTCTTCACTGCGAAAATTATCAATTCAAGAGTAACATCACTAGATATGAAATACCTAAATTCTTATACCATAAGAGTAAATTCAGTTCATCATTCTTTAGAGGTGTTAAGAAATTAAGTCCTAGGTTCCCGCCTGTTTTGTAGGGACATAAAATATCCTCCAATTCTCTCCATAAAGATTTTGAATGTGTCCAAGAATATCATTAAAATCAGAAATGCTGCTTTCCATCACTGTTTTGACTCCAGATGATCATTACCCCAAACCTAACTGAATTCAGGTAAGTTTCACTCTTGTGAAAACATTTTAATATTCAGACAAAGGCATTAAAAGACTTTCAACAATAAGTACTCTACCAGAATTGGCAAATTTAGTTTTCTCTTCGGGGACCCAGTTTAGCAGTTTATCCCTTTTCAGTACTTTGCTTTAAATATATAAGCATGCATTTAAACCCAGCAGAAGGCTGTGGGAATTAAAGATGCTCCTAAGTGCTTTGGTTAACTGGGTCCTGGAAAGAAAATACAGGCAAGTATGGTAGTATGTTAAGGATGTTTAGAGTTCTATGTTTTCTCTCTCTTGTTGAGAAAATAATTGACCCAATCGATCATGTTTGCTGGCAATAAATAGTCACCTCCTTCTGCAGATTTATTTCAAAATTTCTTTAATTATACATTCTTATGGTTGATCAATATATTACTAAACCCACTCATAGTGCATCATGGATTAATCCCCAATACTGACATTTTTCAGAATTTGAGGCCTAGTTCGCAAATGCACACAGGAAAATATACGAGTTTAAGACTCAAAAAATTGCGTCAGTGTCCTTGCCTGGCAACACATACTGCTGTGCCCATCAGTATTATGGCAAATGGAATTGCTTCTTCCTCTTTGCCTGCTTGAAGGCTGCCTAGAGAAACCATCCACTCTGTGAATTGTTGAAAAAAGATAAAAGGGTCCAGTTTGCAGGGACAGTGGCAATAAGACTGATTTTACCACTTCTACAGTCTTAATTTGGAATCTTATTTTGGCAAAATACTCATTAAAGGAGTGCTAACAATGGAGTTATATAAACGTGAAGGATGATCCTTATATTTCTGCCTAGGATGTTATTGGTCCATGTGAGGCAAAACCAAAAAAGGCTTGGTAAGATGTAGAGTAGTTCCCATGGCCACATTTGAGATCTGAAAGGTTTTCCTAACGGTGGCAGATTGCCACACTCTGCAAGGAAAGGTCTCAGATCCTTTTTTGTTCACTCTTTGTGGGAACCTGAGGTGCAAACCTGTGCATGCATTAATTCATATGGCTGCTTGAGTTCCAGCCTGTGAGGGGAAGCATAAAAGTCCAAGTCATAAAATTATTTCACGTACCAAAATTTATATCTACATCTCAATTCTAATCTTAGTAACAGGCAACTAGGCTTTATTTACAGGTTTCAGGTTTGAGACTTTCACTTTCAGGAGGCCCAATGCCTTCTATGGCAAAAGATCAGGGTTGAGTACTTGCATTTTGTATTATATCTAATCCATAGCTTGGGCATAAATGGTACTATTAGGTGAGCTCTACCAATACTGTTTAAAGACACAATTTAAACCAGTAGATATCAGGGTGTTTGGGGTTTTTTTTTTAAATCATAGGTTAAGTAATGTTGGGGCCAAAATACTTTATAAAACAATTCAATTTATCAGGTATAAATCTGAAAGCAGCATACAGCAACTTGTAAATTACGACTAACAAGAGAAATTTCTGTTAGAACCACCTCTCATTCTTTCAGGTGAATATCTGGATGAAGTGTAAACATTTTCTTCCCTACAAATTGTAAAGCAGGAGAAACTGCAACTCCTTCAAACCACTACACATTTTAGCAACAAAAAAAAGCTACACGTATTACACTGCTATGCAAAGTTCACCTTCTAATCCTCGTTGCACAGGAGTGCCGCTGACACACCAGCGGTTGATTCCACTCAAACGAAGTGCCATTTCAGCAGCCTAATGAAAGGAGACAGGAAAACAATTAAAAAACATGAGAAAACCAGAGGGCCAGAAAAAGAGATAATTTTCTTTTGAAGAACAATGCCCATATGTTTCAGCTTTATAAAGCCCTTCTTAACCAGGTGCCTATAGAGAGTTTCAATCAACAGAACATTTTCATTGTTTGAAAAAAGGTGGACAAGAAGGTTTTGTGTCTGGGCTAATGAAGGAGGGTGAAGGTGTCTTGCTATGGCTTGGGAATTACTGAGAGTCAACAGCTGGAAACAAAGAAGGCTAGGATCCAAGTTTAAGCCAGGGGTGAGCAACTACTTGGGCTGGAGAGCCATTTTAACATGTGCGTGCACAAACACACGTGTATGCATACACACAAACATACATGAGCTCCCCTCAGCTCTCCCTGCACCCCTTCCCCCACCCTGAGTCCTTGGCACATGGTCGGGCTGGCAGGAGCCATGCCAATCCGCTCCAGCTGCACCCATGTAGCCTAAAGCAGTGTGCAAGAACACAGCACGGCACCAGCCTGGCCTTGTGCCAGGGCCTCAGGGCAGGGGGAAGGGTGTAGAGAGAAAGGAGAAGGGGTTTGGGAGCCAGGGGTTATCTAGGCCTGGCCAAGTCAGTGTTGGACTGTGTTCCCCACTTCTCCCTGCACCCCATCGCCTGCTCCGAGTCCCTGGTGTGCGGCCAGGCCGGTGCAGTGCTATGTTCCTGTGCGCGACTTTGGGCCATGTGGGCACAGCTGGAGGTGGCTGGTGTGGCTTCTGCCCAACCCAGCTACATGCCTGGGACTTGGGATCATGCAGGAGCCGTGCCAGACGCTCTATTTGTGCTCACATGGTGCAGCTCAAAGCAATGGGTGGGAACACAGCATGGCATGTTAGCAGCACCTGTGCTCCTACCAGGCCCTGGCCTGGCTCAGCAAGGCCTGGGTTACTTGCAGCTCCTGGCCCTCTTCCCCCCAGGGGGCAGAATCATACCTGAGCTTTGACTCTCATTGGGTGCTGGGCTATCTGGTCTGCAAATAGCTGCAGGGTCGAAGAGGCACACAGAAAGCATTGCAAGGCAGAAGCCTGGCCAGAAACTCAGTGACCCCTGCCTTGGAGTGTACACTGGGGGCTGGCAGGTGAGCCAGGCTGGGGAGGGGAGAGGTTGCCTGGTCACTGGAGCTGAAGCTGCTGTTGCATCTGGCTATGGCATGGGAAAAGGAGAAAGGCGAGATGCACCAAAACCTGAGTAGCTGCAGGCTGGATACACTTCTTCAGAGGAGCAGCCACAGACCAGGTAGAATCCCTTGGTGGACCGGATTCAGCCCACGAGCAACATTTTACCCACCCCTAATTTAAGCCCTGCTTTGGACTTGTGAATAGGTAAACATATACTTGGGTCATTTGGGCTGGGGAAACAAAAAGTCCTAGCAACATCACTGCCTGGTGTGCCCACACCAGGGCCAACTAGGCTTGGGCAGACCTTTGACCTTTCTGCTAATTAAGAGAAATACCATCTTTAACACAATAAACATTTACACATTTTGGTCTGAGAAACACGTTGCTGTGTGGGCAAGAACTGCAGCACTTCCCTACTTGTAAATGGAAAGAACTGATTCATGAAGAGCTATACATCTGACAGCTACCTACCTAGGAAATATGATCCTGGCTCTCTTTGTTTCCACCTGCTAACTACCAATAAACAGACTGCTAGAATTACACTGGGTATTTCTTGGACCTAAAAAGCAATTCCTATATTTGCCACACCGACATTAAAAAACCATGAATGGAAACAGGAAGGAGACACTCTAATAAAACATGGACCACATTTTGAAAAAGTGCCAATAACCCTGCACAATGGAAGACTAATAAGGCCGATACAGACACATAAACACCCCTTCCATCAGACTGGTTAATCTTTTAAAAATGAAACTGTCACCTGAGAACTGGTAGGATCTATGACCGCAGATCTAATTCAAACTGCATAAAGCATTTGAGACAAAAGAAGGCAGAGTGACAGTGCACACGTGCATAAAAACAGTAAAACTGTTACTTAAATAGCATTTTCTCCTTATCTACAGCTACAAGGTGGAAAAAAAAATTAAAACAATCTCCCTCTGCAAACTATTGAGAAAAAAAGTCAGCCTGTTGTATACTGCTATTTTAACTTCTTCATCCAAAGGAAATATTTATGCCTCTGAACCATGTCACAGAACAGGGTAGTGGCCTTGCCTGAAACTGTCAAACACCGTATCTGACATGATGACCCAGGTCTTTAAGTTGTCAGTACAGATTATGTTAAACACATTTTGAGCCAGATATACTTCACAGTCTGCCCAAATTCTGACAGGGAAAAATTTAATAGTAAATATCTCTAAGGGAAAGTAAACTATCCATCACTTCTGAAGAACAAACTACAAGGACAAATTATTTATGTGCAATACATGTTAAGACTATAGCAACAATAGCAGCTCTACGGTACTTTTTGTCTAAATTAAAATAAGCTTATCAAATTTTCTCAAGTTCAATACAGACATGCCCTGGAGATTCCCTTACCTTTGCTGTAGTGCATTCAACCATCTGTGCTTCATCTAGGCATATCCTCCACCACTCCACCGCTACTAAGGGGCTTGGGATGGCCATATACCTCTTCTGGTTCCTGAAACGGCGTCCATCTTCACTGTTGCTGTGAGGGATGTCCACATAGTTAAGTTCAGTGCGTAGGACATCATATGTGGTGATGACTATTTCCTGTTCTGCCAACATATGAGGCTGCAAGAATCCGTGTTTCTTCACACCTTGATATACCTACATGAATGTATACATACAAGCAAAAGAACAAAGAATGAAGAGACATGCACATCTGAAAAAAGAAAAGTTTCCCACATTAAGTAATGTCAGTTTGTAAAATCTGTACTTAAACACATTTTATTTACTTATATAAAATGTGAAGGCAACAATGTTTCTGAGTATTTCTTCCTAGAGAAAAAAAGATAGGTTTCACTATTTCAGATGACAGTTGTATATGCAACCACATCAAGAAAAAAGCCACTTAAAATATGTACTCCTTGCCTCCCTTCCAGCAGATGTGTTATGCTTTTTGGTTTGTTTCTGCCACTTAAGAATATCATGGAAGAGTAGGTAAAGATAGCAGCATACAATCAATTTAAGGTAGGCACGTCAAAGATCTGGCCCATTAAAGTCTACTGACTGGTCACGGTGATGCCTGTCACAGGGTCTCAGAGTGGACCCTCACATTGCATGTGGTGCATACTGGATCAGCCTTGAGTATGCTGTATGCAATGTAGGGCCAATGCGTTGCAGACCGGTGCTGGTCTACAATGAGTGATGCACATGGTGCAAGTGCTGAGACTGCCCCACATATTGGACTGATCTGGCCTATCCATAGTCTGGCCCTTCACCATTCTTGCAGATAACAGAGTTTGACGCTCCTCATTTACAGAATCAAGATATGGGCTACACTGTTATTTCTAATCTCAAACAAGATCTTTGAGTAGAATCAATGAAAAAGGAGAAACAGATATGAAAAATGGCGGCTTGCACATCAACAGTACGTACATTTTCTGTAATGGCTTTCTATCAGAAATGCCAGAAGTCTTGCAACAAAAACAGCTTTGTCATTTATATGCAATCTGTCCCTCTTTTACCTCAACATTTTTTAATGCAATCCCCTTGGAAACATACAAAAGCTTATAGTAAATGCATATGTTAAATAAAACTGTGTAATTAATATACTTGTATATGCTAAAATTTTACATCTGAAGCAAAATGCAGTAAAAATTGTAAACCTTAATCTTTTCTTTATGTATACTTTGAGTACCTTAAGATAGTAACACTCATGTTTCAGATGGTGTAAGTGTAGAATTTAACAAATATTATGTGTAAAAATGCATAAACATCTAGTTGTCCACAAAGATTTTTAGATGCCTAATATTAGCAATTAGCAATTTCTGCTAAAGATGTGCACCTATTACGTTTTCTTTCTCCATCATATCACCAAGCATATTCCACTTATTCATTATTCCTATTAGGATCCTATTCAAAACTGCAAATTCACCATTTACTTAACCATTTTCTGAAAATCTGCTGTCATTACTCCCACCCATATATGTAGGCACCAACATCCCTCCTATAACCACCTCTGTGCTTTAACTCCGATTATAACTATGTTCAAGAAATCCTACTTAATACTTTCCCCACTTCTCTACCTAAAGAAATTAACTCATTTTCAAACCTCATCTTAAAACAAGCTTTGTCCCTTCCCTTGCCCCTGTTGTTTTTTCATTCTATAATGCTTTATCGGCAACTTTATGTAAAGTAGCTGTATACAACTCTATACGCAGATTTTTTTAACCTTTGTTGCCTGTAGGGTATACTATGCTATATTCCAAAAACCTTTATTTTGCAAAAACAGGCATCAAAGATTAAAAACTCATAATTAGTTGAGTGATTTGTAATCACTCAAAAAGGGGAACAAGTTAATGAAACCTTAATTTGTTTCCCGTGTACAAATTATGACAGACTTAAAAATCCATGAGCATGTAATATCCCCCCTCCATTTTCCTCCTCCCTGGGTTCCTGTCTGGAGCAAAAACAAATCTTGTTCAACCTGAAGAAATAATTGCAGTTAAGTTTTGCTGAGCCTTTGCAGTCCCAGGACCAACAATTATTAACTGTGGTTACCGGATATATGCAATTCAGTTGGCCCATAGATTCATAGATGTTAGGGTCGGAAGGGCCTCAATAGATCGAGTCCGACCCCCTGCATAAGCAGGAAAGAGCGCTGGGGCTAGATGACCCCAGCTAGATACTGCTCTAACCTCC